TCAGCATTCTCAGCTTTTCTGAAAGGTTATCGTTTTTCAATTGTGCAGTCCTCCAACTCACTGTTTACTTAATAAATTTGTTGGTATAAGATAACTTCTAATTATTTATTTAATATATCTAAAATGTGCTGATAATTTAAAAGAAAAATCAAAAAAAGGCAAAATAATATAAACGGGGCTTCAAATATCCTAAATAAGAATTTTGGTTTAGACAACATTCAAACAAACATTCTAATATACAAGTCAATGAAGTTACATGAGTATTTTTGAAAAGGCTGAATAATTACCAGAAACCACTGATTATATATTTTATACCATTAACTTTATAAATTTATAAAATCATGCAATTTTTTTTTCAAATGTTGGATTTTGATGATACCCTATCTTGAAAAATAGCTATAGGAAAACTCATATAACTATGAATAAAAAACCTTTTATAGTTGTGACAATAAAAGTGAATAACCAAGAAATGTCAATACACTTAAGTTTATTAAACATAAATATCTGAAATGTAAGATGAAGATCTTTAGGACAACACAGCTTAGCTTAGAGTGGATAGTGAAAGGTGAATATTTCTAAAGTTTCTCCTTATTTTTAAGAGGTGAGTGTTACACTGGCTGTTCCTATTTATCCTCTGATCGAGTGATGTTGTAAGTACTCTACTTGGAAGTTGTTTCTGGAAGTGTTTTTAACAATTACCCACAACTTCAGGAGGATAGCAACAGAGTTCATTTAAAACTGCAATTGCATATTTTAGAATGAGCGAGTCTTTAAGCAGAGACTGTATGGACTACAGTGTATTTATTATGTTACATTGAAAGGACCTTTAGAGGTTCTATGATTTTGTACACACTTTCAGAATGGCTAGCATTTAAAATAGCTACCACCTCGTCCTCCTCTCCTAACTGATAACCACAAAAGCACTGTTTAGATGCATTTAGTAAGTTACCACATTTAATATAGTCACTACAAGGATTTTCCTGACATGGCCAGGCCATAAAGCTTTCTTATTCTGTGTGTTTCCCCCCACAAGTAGGGCTGTTGAGAATACCAGGACCTACTCAGGAAATGTTAGTTTTGTCAAAATGTGTATACAATCACTTTACCTCCTAAAAGCTAAGTCAAAATTACACAGAATCAAAACTATCTTTCCTTAGACCTAACTGGTTTATAACTAAGGTTTAAGAAGTCGTGGTTCCACAAACACCGTTTCTGAGCTGTAACAAATCCCAGTATTTACAGTCAACTTTTCTCACTTTCTGATACTATCCTCTGCGACTTTTCTCTTTAATCCTTACATTCAGTTAGGGTATCTGACCCAACGCATGACTCTACCAGACGGAAGTGGGCTGCAGTTCTGTAAGAACAAAGCTACGAGCACGGTGTGAAGTTAAGGCTGAGCTGCCAAACTGACATTCAAAACTTCACTGGCAGCTGATTCAACAACTGTATACTGCTTTACCTCTCAAACTGTAATGAAGGTTGGGAAATGCAGGCCAACGCGTTCCAGGATCAGCACTGAATTTCCCTTTGTTTTCTGAGTTTGTGTTAGTTAGGCTTAAAAATAGTCAACTCGATTTTTTTTTTAATTAGGCCAAAGCTACCAAAGACACTCCATCCTACACCCAAGAATATGCATGCAAGGGAATTTTCTTCAATAAGGTTGGTTTGCTTGAATTTATTTTCAGCATGATGTTTAATTAGCACAGCTTCAAAGGTACACATAGAAGAGTCTTTGTCTCAGTGATTGGGGGATTTTTCTCTTGATGAACAAAGCAGCCTGGGTGTTCCTGTTTTACAACTAACTTTATACAATAAAGGTAATGCAAGTAACAGAATTAAAAGGGAGAGGAAGAAGATATCGGAAACTCTGTCTGAGGTCCTGGGCCCCGTCTTTGTTAAATTCTCTTCCCAAGCCTGTATCCTGTGGTGCAGGGAGGAGATATACCCTAGATCCTGGGTGTCTACAGAACAGTCTGAAGTTCCAAGGAGAATAAGGCAAGGGACAAAGTCACTTCATGACTGCCCGCCAATTGCTGACACCATATCCAAGCTCCAGACCTCAGCAGCAGTCTCCTAAAATAGAGGTAGGTCTGAGTTCCCTGAAGCTGTTGCATCACTCAGTGTACAGCACAGCATGGTAGAGGTGTGTGCATACACGCAGGCACAAACTGGGAAGCTAACTGTGCAGTGGGTAGGGCAGAGTAAGAAAGGGCTTCCCTGGACTTTGATTACCCAATAAAATTGACTAACTTCAGAGGAGTTGTCAGGGTGACCCTCAACCCCCAGACCCTGTGAGCAGTGGCTAAATGAGTCCTGTTTTCCCTTCCCAGTATCTGACTAGAGTTCTGTATACCGAGGGCCTGGATGGAGTCTAAGATTCTCATGAAATTCTTCTAGAAAATCAAAGCCTTAGTTCATAGGTAAGATGAATACCCTGTTGCCAGGATGACCTGCATTTCTCATAACAGATCTGAAGATGAGGCTGGTGTTTCAGTTAGCCCAGACCTCCTTGGTTAGCCATTCTTTTCTAACTCAGGCCACAAGATACCATTAAGGTATATGCACTGCCTCAGCTTATATTTATGGTATCATTCAATCCCAGAATGCCTAAGCGTTTTTTAAGGAAAACCTAACATACTACCAGGAGCCCAGTAAACAATAAATTATAACCGCAAGCCCCCTATTTTTACTTTGCAATTCAATTAGAATGAGCTGTTTACATCTCTTTCCTGTTCTATCAACCAACTGAAGGCTCTAAAAGAGTAAAAACTGAATCTCACTTTCCTCTATAATGAACACAGATACTTCAAAATGTTAAACAGACAAAGGATCCATGCTCCATTTTTTGCTCCATTCTCTCCTCTCTTGTGTATGCTCTTTAGCTTGTTTGGAAGGGTAGAGTCAGTTGGCATCCATCATTCCAGGTGGATTTGAGGGATACCATATCCTGTTTTCTGATATACAAAGAAGCTTTGTGGCAGTGGCGACTATATAATGACAAAGAAGTGAACTGTTAAGGTATTGGGGGGGGGGTATCATTTTGAGGCTTTAAATCAGAGTGCATGTGTGCCTGTATCTCAGTGTGTGTGTGAGCCTGTACACATACTATATTCATTGGGGTTCTCCTTTCTGTCACATACTGTTCCTATTTGTCTTCTCTGATTTAGTTGCTTTCAAGAACCTATATTAAAAAAAAGAGGATTTTCTAACACTACCACCAGTGTGGAAATAGAACTGCTTTGTCATAACCAAGACTATATGACGAATATGGAAATGCTCTAGCTTAAAGCCACACAGGGTAGTGAATATCCATGGTACTTCTAAAGTGAACAAGTGCATTGCATACATTTCCCCACAGGAACAATATGAGCAATTAGGCAGGAAAATTATTTGAAAATCTGACCTCTTTCCTTTAAATGCCAACAGAGCTTCTCAGTCATGTGATAACCTACAATACCCAATATCTCTATATACTATCAAATGCCTACAGGAAGCTGAGAGTCACTGCTTAGCTGGGTGGATCTGGCTCCAAAGGCAACAAATATTTCAGATAAATTTCAGTCTTCAAACATTTGCTTTCAGGTGTTTTTTTGTTGTTGTTTGTTTTGTTTTGTTTTGTTTTGCCAAAATAGTTCTTCTGGTCTGAAGACTTACCAGAGATCTAACAGACAGATTTTGGTTTTTAAAATGGTTGCTTTCCTGAGATGAAATTTTTTAAAAAATAAATGCTTGGACAATTGAGTAAATACAGCACTTATGTTTTTTTCATTCCTTTTCGTCAAGAAATTCTACCTCACCTTTTGAATCTCCAAGTGTGTAGTGACAGATTCCACCTACTGGTTAACCACTTCTCACTCCAGGTCTCTCCTCCCCTCCAAAACACAATGAAATAGAAACCAAAGTGGGGCGGAAACATGGAGATTAAGAGCAGTTATTTAAAATCGAGATCTCAACTACTGTTAAGTTTCTTTTTTAAAAACTTAATGCTTAAATGGAGACACTAGGACATGAGGTCACAAAAGTCTGTTACCAGTACCAACTTCTGTAGTAAAGCAAAGATTTTCCGCATATTATTCCTTATTCCGAGATGCAAGACAGTTTACTATGAATATCATATCCACCAACCAATCTGAGTATTTACAAGTATGTGTCCTAAATGAGTGCTGTGATTTCTGGATCTTCAGTGGCACTGCTGCCTTCCACCTTTCCACTGAGTAAACGGCCAATGAGATGGACTAGTGGCGCCTTCTGGTACCCACGGACTACCCAGGCCACTTCAGATAGAAGAGGACTTCAGTTCAACAAAGTAAGTTTATGTCCCAAGAGTAACCCCTATTGGAACTATACTACTGGCTGGCTGTGGATTACAATTTAATAAAATTCTAGAGAATAACTACATATTTCCTTATTCAAAATATTTCACATAGTATAGTTCTAGCCTATTTCCTGCCCCAGAAACAGCTCAGTGTGACAATGTCTTACAGGGGACTGCAGGCAACAAAGTTGATCAGCAACACATGGTTCCAAGTATAACAGGTAAATGCAGAAATGCTGGGTTGGTTGCAAGCTGGTCAGTAGGACAAGGATAATTATTTTCTCAATGAACTAAAGCGTAATCCACTCTCATGCTTCAAAGCCCATCTCTTTAGACAGAACACCATCAGCATTACAACAAATTACTTAGTTTCCATTAGAGTCACATTTCATTCATTTGCCAAATTTTCATAGATATTTATTAGATATCAAAATGATCCTGTTAGTCTGATGTTACTTAGCAAAGTAGTTTATAAACCTACGTATTTTTTTGAAATACACCCAACTTGTGAATGTCCAGCCTTTGAATTATTAGAATAGTCAACGTCAGAGAAACAATTGATTGAGCCAATTTTTACAGTCATTCTGCCAATTATTTTTTGAGAAAAGTACAAATTAAGATGTAAAAGACAGAAGCAAAGATTAAAATGATTTATAAAAAGAAGTCACACTTACTTCCTTACCTGAAATATTTTAGTGCTTGGGCTTCTTATTGAGTTTGGTAGTTGTAAGATGGGTCTTTTTAAATAAATTAAGCAGTCTTCAGTGTTTTTATAGCATTGGTTACTACAGAAATTATACTTCTTTTACTTCTTGTCTTGAAGGGTGAACAAAATAAACAAACTGAAAATACTACAATGAATGGTGAATGATGAAAGACTTACAGTACAAAAAACAGTGTAAAAAGGAAGACAAGTTTAAATATTGTTGTGTAAGAAAGTGATGAAAATAATACAAGAATGAGAATAAGTAAAATGATAGGCTGGAACATCTGGGAAGGTAAATGCAAAGACAAAAAGAAGAGTTAATTAATAATAATTTTAGAAAATTTAATTTACATCACCTAATCTAAGCACTCATCCAACTTCAGATAAAGCAGAACCTTCCCTTATGCCTCTATTTAGCAAATCTGAAAGCCTATTATTACATACTTTCTCTCACTCTTTTTTCCCCAAGGGTAAAATTGAAAAACCACATGCTTGAAGTACCCCAAAAAACTGCAACAAGGAAACTAAAAACCAATTATTATTTGATACAGTACATGGAAGGAAATAAGCCTCAACACTGAAAAAATTCAAGTTTTACCATAAGACTATTTTTGCTTTCCATAGCAAAGCAGAGCAACATGCAAGGTCAGTAAGCGACAGGGTTGCGATTTTTCTAGTTGTGACTAACAGGCAGTTAAATTAACGTTGGTCATGCTTCCGAGTATAACCTGATTTTTCAATTGAAACCTGTTGCGTGTCTTAAAAGCCATGCACGCTGTTGTACTTCCGCGGGTTCTCCAATGGACACAGGATACCAGGCTTGCCAGAGGGGGGTGGCACTGCCCGTTTTATGAATTGTTTCTTAGGTGGTTAACTCTGACAAAATGCATTGGTCTTTGGCCACCATACCTGGCTAGAGCAGCTCAGTCCAATTCATCGGGTGTGCCTCTACAATTAGGATGAAGGAAAAATGCTGGTTTTCCCTGTTCGGGAATAGTTATTACTGTTGCCTTAAACAATCCTTCCCCAGTCCTGAGATTTTCCACTACAGAGATGACAGTGATATTTTTTGGAAGTAATGATTATGTCACTTTGACTGTGGTAAAGGAGCAACTACCAAACTCATTCCTTTTGGTCCAGCTCTAGACACAGCATCATCTCTTTTCTCTGATGGTTTCTATGTTTACTGGTAGTTACGCACCAACTTAGAAAGTGTTTAAAAATTATTTTAAACTCAACTTGAATCTTGGCTCGAAAACTGCAAACAATTGAAGATTCCCACTAGGGACCTTCTTGCAGCTAGAGCTATTAGAATCCGTGGAATAATGAAAAATGTTGAGATTTAGTAATAATAAATAGTAATAGTAGTAGTTATAAATCTTAAACATCTTTTCATCTTTACACAGAAACTGTGAAGGGGGAGGGACAGTAAAGTTTCTCTTTAAAAATAACAGGGGAAACAGTTACTAAGTAATCGGGTGAGGAAAACCTCAGGCCTGAAGGAGGACAGTGTGAAAGCTTCTGAGCTGGGACTTCCCTAAAGCGGGGCGTGGGAGTCGGTGTACGGAGGCGCCCCACTCGGGACCGCAGCTCCGCCGACCAGCCTCGCCATCGCCGTGGCTCGCAATAGGCAGAACTGTACCTGACTCACGGATATGGGCTCCTCGGCGCCACGGTCGTCTGTGGACTTGGGCACCTCCAGGCGGTCGATGAAGGTCTGCAGCTCCTTGCGGAAGGCCTTCATCTGCGCGTTGATGCGGTAGAGCAGCTCGTGCTCCCGGATGCGGCTGCCGTCGTCCTCCTCGTCCAGCAGTCCGAACAGGTCCCCGTTGGCCACGTAGATGCGCGCCTCGGTGATGATGGTGCTCGTGTCCGCGATGAGCCGGTCGATGGTCTTGCCCAGGCGCTCGGCCTCCGAGCGGATGTCCTTCATCTGCTGGCGGTCGGAGAAGCTCTTGGACCAGGGCCCGGGTGCCGGGTAGAAGGAGCGCGTGGGTGTTAGGCAGCGGATATTGCGCACCTCCTCGGAGTCGCTCTCGCCACCAATGGGCCCTTCGCGCTTGCGGTGTGGCGGCCGTGAGTCGTCATCGCTCTCTTTCTTGCCCGCGTCGCTCTCAGCATCGCTGTCGCGGGGGCTGCCGCGGATGCCCAGGTGCGAGGCCAGGTCGTAGCGCTGCATGTTGGACATGAGCACGCGGTTCTCATACTGCAGCTGCATGACCTTGCCGCTCAGCTCGTTGATCTGCAGGCGCGCCGCCTTCAGCTCCTCCTGCAGGGCCTCTGTCTTGGCGCTGTCGTGGTGCCGTGCGCTCTCATGGGCACCCGACTTGTACTTGTACTTGTTGAGCTCCGCCGTGATGCGCTTGTTCTGCTCCTCCAGGTCGGCCACGTTCCTCCGCAGCAACTCCGTCTCGTCTTCCACCAGCTGCAGGTGCTGCCGCAGCTCCGACAGGGATTCACTCTGCTCCCTCATGAGCGGGTTGGCCGAGCCGTTGAAGTCGTCGCCCCTCAGGTCATCCAGTTCTGCCTTTAGGCCTCTGTTCTCTACCTCCAGTTCCACGATTTTCCTGCCCAGGATGTTGGCTTCTTCCTCTACCAGCCTCAGCCGCAGCTTGAGCTCAGCCTCCCGCGTGCTGGGAGGCCCCCCGGCTTCTCCTTTGGGCAGAGGACTGTCCAGATCTCCATAAAAGGATCTGTACTTCTGAAGCTCATGCTCAAATCTGTCCTTTTCTTTATCAATCTTGGCCATTTTCTTTCTCATCAAAGCAGCTTCTTCTTTCACAAACTGCAGCTGGCATTTCAGATCTTCATTGTCCTCCTCATTTGGGAAAAAGGGAAAAACAGAATAGGAGACCATTTTTTTAATGTAAATCAAGAAAACCACCAGAAGAGGACACCTGCACAAATTATCCTTTTTTCTTGTAGTCAAGATTTAAAATGAGAAAGAGAGAGAGAGAGAGAGAGAGATATGGATGGATATAGGTGCTTTGTGCTTTCTCCAATCACTTAAATTCTTTGGCAAATAAAAGATTAAGACATATTGCATTCTGGCAATAAAATAAGAAAGGAATGTAAAAAGAGAAAAATCATGGTCATCATTATTCAGAGATTATTATATGTTGCAACCATGGTCTTCATTATTCAGTTGCATACAACTGTTTGGCTGTTATTTCAACAATGTTCATTTTGTTTCTTTGGCTTTTTATGGGGTTTCAATTCCCCTAACTATAATAAATATGAAACCGATTCGCTAGAAGGAACACGGAGTTAACAGGCACTCACTACCATTTACTGTTCATGGACTCAATCAGATTTTGTAAAGCTCTTTACACATATCACCTAATTTAATATTCAGAGTAAACTTATGAGGAGATATTAAAATGGTTTTAAAATGTTTAGTAGCTTGTTCAAGATCACACAGCTAATAAACAGCAAAGGACAAAAGTGAAATTTGAATCAGTTCTGCCTGACACCAAGGCTCAAGGCTCATGATCACTCAGCCATACAGAAAGAAATTGACCTCAATCTTTATTTCAGGGAGGAGTGTTTTTAAAGGCCTTTAAAGTAAGGAGAGTTTAACACTGGACTGGCCCATCCAAGAAGAAACTGGTAAGTGGTTCATCGAGATCACTTTTAAAATAGGATGTAGTCCCACGAGTCTGAAATGGACATAGTTGGTTCTGCCTGGTTAAAGAATGACGGAGGTGACCCTACAGAAGTTCTCACACTTGCTCAGACAACATTCAAACCCTAATCATTAACTAAACTAAAAAGTACAGAAAAGTAGAAATCAGTTCTTTCTCTGAGAACAAACATCAAAGCAGATGATTATGCCTAAGATGTAGTTCCCAAAATTCTCTAAGTATGTGCTTTGGACAATCATGTAACTTCTGTCACCTCGTTTTCAAAATGAGAATGAAAATACTTTCTTTTCAAGCACTGAGTCAGCTATATTTGAGGGGCCTTCTGGTTAGGAAATAGCAACCACTGGTGGTGAAGGTGAGAAGAACAATGAGCTTCTGCCAGAGATGCTCAGTTAATATGGCCCAGAGCCTCTGAGATGGAAGAGAGGGAGAGCATGACCCAGGTCTCCTGTCCTATGAAAATGAGTGTGGAAGGCTTTGGGAGTTGCTGGGGGTGCCTGAACATTACATTCTCTATATCATTACGTCTTCACATCAGCCCCATGAACAAAGTGATACTATGCCTACTTTGCCCATAAGGCAGCTGAGCTCCAGAGAGTTTTATTCACATGTTAGACAAGAAGTTAATAAATGACAGAGCACATCTATATGTGGGCTGGTTCTGTATCTCATATTCTTCCCGCTGCATGTGTTGCTTCCAGAAAAGCAGCACAGGAGAAGAAAAGTAGGATGATGGGTGAAATAAAAGAAATCAGATGTGTCCGCTTGTGTGCATTCCTCTAGAAGGAGTCTAGAAGGAAGGAAAAAAGCACAAAGAGAACATAGAACCTCAGGAGCACAGTGAGAGAAAAGGATACGAATGGATGTTGCAGATTTGATGAGACTCCATTTCACAAGGGAAAAGAAAAGCTGCCCTGCGAGAGACTGTGTTCAGGCCCTCAAATGAATGATAATGAAAACAAGGGCATGTTCAATGTTTAATATCCCATCAGCAGAAGGATCAAAGATAACCCTGACATTTTGAATTTAGAGGGGTTCTTTTGCATTTGGTTTGTTTCTTTTTAAAAATGTTTATATTTCTTTCAAATACATTTTACATTCAATATTATTCTGTATTAGTGTTAGGTGTATATATAGCATAGTGACTAGACAATCTCATACTTTACAAAGTATTTCCCCCCCCCGATATTTCCATTACCCACCTGGCGCCATACATAGTTATTACATTATTGACTATATTTCCTATGCTGTGCTTTACTTCCCCATGACTATTTTGTAACCACAAATTTGTACTTCTCAATCCCTTTTACTTTTCACTTAAGTCTCCCTCAGCTCTGGCAACCATCACTCTGTCCTCTGTATCTGTACATCTGTTTTTGTTTGGTTTGGTTCATTTATAAGCTTTTTAGGTTCCACAGAAAATATGTACCCTTATGTTCATTTTAGAATTATTTACCATAGCCAAGCTATGGAAGCCACCTGAGTGCCCATCAACAGATGAGTGAATAAAAAAAGCTCTGGTATATATATGCAACAGGATATTACTCAGTCATAAAAAAAAAAAAAAGAATGAAATCTTACCATTTGCGACAGCATGGATGGACCTACAGGGTATTATGTTAAGTGAAATAAATCAGTCAGAGAAAGACAAGTACCATATGATTTCACTTACATGTTGAATTTATGTGTCTTGATGGGTTGTACCACCAATACCAGGGATTGAGAATGAACAAGGAAGAGTAGGTTTTACATGAAAAATATGGGTTTAGGTATATTAAAATCCTATCTTCGAGGTGTATTGGTTGAGGGATACGTATATTGCAAGGGTTACACTTGTGGACCTGTAGAGAGCTCAGGTCCAGAGGGGGAATGTTAGCATGAGGTGCCCAGAGATGGTGGTTGAAGCTATTTCAATGATTTCAGAAGCAAAAAGGGAGGAGAATAAAAGCAAGGGAGACAGATAAAAAATGTTAAAGGTTTGTGAGAGGAGAGGACTGAGAGTCAAAGGTCATGTAGGCTAAGAACTAAAAACAATATTTGAATAGAAAAGTGGCCAACACTATACATATCAAAAATGTTTTTACATGGGCTAGGTTTTGTTGGGAAGTAAGAGCAGGTGAGCTGGGAAGCTAGGTTGGGCTACACGCACGGTTAAAATCCTTGGTTGGAACATAAGGCCTTGAACTGGTTAGTAAAAAAACAAAATGTTGGCATAATGCTGCAGTTTCAATCTAAGTTGATGTAAGTCACAGATTGAAGTAGAAAAACACTCAAATGGGCTATTTTAAGCAAATATAAGAGAGAAGGATATCTGATTTGTGTTTCTATAAGCTCCTTTGCCCAAAGGAATGAAAACAAAAATTTTAAGACTTGCACCTATACTGCGTGTAATAAAGTCATCAGAGGAAAGGAGAATGATGGGTATGATAATCATTTTATTTTTTGTAGAGAGAATCTTTTCATGATACAAAGTATGACAGTTTTTGCAATGGCAAGAATTTAAGAATGCTGTATGCTGCAATGCATTGCACCCTCATCTTGCAACCTAACTATTGCAGGCTGCATTTGAAACTGTGCATAGAAATACCATGTATCACCCTGGCTGGTGTGGCTCAGTGGATTAAGCGCCAGCCTACGAACCAAGGGGTCGCCAGTACAATTCCTAGTCAGGCCACATGCCTGGGTTGTGGGCCAGGTCCCTGGATGGGGGCATGTGAAAGGCAACTGGTCAATGTATCTCTCACACATCAATGTTTCTCTCCCTTTCTTTCTCCCTCCTTTCCCAGCTTTCTAAAAATAAATAAAATCTTTAAAAATAATAATAAAAAATCATGCATAGATGTTGAAAACATTAAATCAGAGACTGTATGGAAAGTGCCTAGTTAACAGTCACTGAGCAATTTATGTTTGTTCCTATTTTCACAGGGAATACTAGGCAAGAAACATTAATGCTTTGAGATGTGAAGCAAGTTGCCTGTTATTTTTGTTTTGTTTGTTTTGTTTTGTTTGGTATGTTAAAGGCTCACTCTCAAGAAGATTAAATATGAGCATATTTAATCTTCTTGAGATATATGCTGCCTGCAATAGTTAGGTTGCAAGATGAGGATGCAATGCATTGAGGCATATGAGGAACGGGAACATAAAGATGATGAAGGGCAAAAAGAAGTGAGTGGAGCCTGGTTCTGACTTAGATACCACTAGAAGCTGAAGTGTACAATAATAAAATATTAACTCATTTATTCTGTACAACAACTCTCTATGACAATCCTTATTATAGATGAGGAAAAAGAAGCATAGAAAGAATAAGTAACTGATGTAAAGCCATAGAACTTAGATGGAAGAGATTTTCTTCTAGGTAAACCAGCCCTAAAGTTACTATTCTTAATTGTTCTGCAATCCCATTTCTCAGTACTTAAAGTCAGCATGCTGCTGAAGGAACATTCAGGGGACACATCAAAGCAGCTGAGGCAGATGAACAAAATGAAATACGAAGCTACACTAATAATAGAAAGTTGAACCAAATCAAGCTGTCATTGGTGTAGGTCAAAGTCAACATCATGTTGGCAATTTCATATGGCTACATAAAAAATGGAGCATGGGAATATTCAAAAGTACATACTAAGCATGTTGCAAAGTGCCAGACATTAGACGCTGATGAGTCAAAGCTGAATAAGGAGGCCTCTGCCTATACTATGTCCTGGCTAACTATAGGAAATGAAGATGCAAACAAGAATTACAATAGAATGGGATATTTGCGGTTAATGTAAGCATGTGAATCAATATTCCTCAGCCTTGCCTGAGCAATAAAATGATCTATGGACTTCTTTATAGTTGAGATCTTTCCTCTAAGATAGTCCTGTTCAATCTGCTGGGGTGGGCTTTTGAAAATAAAAAAGACAGGCAATAACCTCTGAAAATAACTGAATTACAAATTATAGCAGGGACTTCAAATGCTACAACAGCATACTTAGACATTTCCCAGGATGTTTGTAACCATGAAATAAAAACTAGTGGATTTCAATGTATCTTGCAGGAGAAGTTCTCAAAGGCACATGGACTTAGGGGTCCACAGAGCCAGTGAAGAATTCCTGGATTAGACAATATTGTCAAAAAGAATACATAAACTTTAGGAAAATATAGGAATAGAACAAAAGTGCATTAAAAAAACCTGCTGACTTGAGATTTTAGAACAAGGAGCATATAACATCTTCTCACTAAATAAGGTGGAGAAGAGGATCCGTGACAACACAGGAAATGAGTCACAACAGAATACGTAGTGTGAGGGGGCTAAAGTTATGGCAAAGACAGTGAGAAAGCTGCAGCAACACAGCATGTTTGACTTAACAAGGAAACTGAGAAAAATGTACAAAAAGGAGTAATGATCTTGGTATAAGACTCTGGACTATAAATATTCTTGTGCAAGTACCAGAAGAAAAATTAACCATGAACAGAGCAGGCAGAGAAAGGAAAAGAGAAAATAAACATTTAATATGTTATGCTTTTAAAAATATGATCAAAATAAAGGGAAGGAAAGGGGAAAGTCAAGGAACATATAGCAAGGACTCCTGGACAAAACCAAAGGGGAAGAGCTGAGGGAGGGAGGGAAGGAGGGAGGGGGCAAGGGAAAGGGGGGGGAGACAGAGACAAATGTATTTAAAAAGTAAATTAAAAAAAATAAATAAAGATCCTTAATCACAAAAAAAAAATAAAGTTTTTCAAATTTTGTATATTTAAATCTTCCTTTAGTTAAAGTTACTATCTAATGAGAAAACCCTGTGAAAGAATAAAAAAATTTTATAGTACTTTAGATTCCAACATTTAAAGGTCAATATGTAGGCAAATGTTTTTGGAGAGCCACAATGTCACTTCTGCTTCCAAATATTTCCTCTGCTGTTTTAAAATTTCCTTCATTACGTCCATCAGTACCTTCTGCTCATCCTGAAAGCAGAACTAGCCTTTACTGTGGCCATGTTTCTAAGGTACCTAACCAGCCCATGTTGAATCCATCTTTTAAGTTTTATTTTTATTCTTTTGTTGCCTTTCTTTTGCTTCTCCATTCACTGGCACAGAGAACTACTTCAGTCTAGGGCTCAATGCCCTCATGAGCCTCCCTCTCCCTTTGCCATCCCTTCCTACTACACTCCATTCTTTACTCTCCCCTGATACCATAGGAACAGCCATTCTACTGACCTTAATGATGAGCAAACAAGATTAGCACCGTGGATACAGTTCGCACACATAGTAACACATAAAGAACTAATGATGTTTTGGTGGGTGTAAATGCAGTAATAATATGGATATTAGTGCTAGTTTTGTAAGTAAAGATACTGAATGTTTTATACTGCCTGCATCTATAGCTGCATAATCAATAGGCATAACTTTGTTTTACAGGAGCATTGTGTCTGAGTATTATGTCTACTTATAGAAGTCATTTATTATATACATTTAGAGGTGCTGGATGTACTAGTTGAAATTTTATTTCCACATACCTCTGTGGGAGTTTGTTGAGTCTTTTTTTCAGATTTGGGCAAATCTTTGCTTCCTCTTCTTTTTAAGGATAGCTGTAACAAAGCATGAATATATTTAGTTTGATAAACAATGATTTTAATTCAATTTTATGTATTTAAATGTCCTAATAGTATATGATAAAACCAAGCCAAATGAAGAGTGTTAGTTCAAAAATCACAGAGGAGAAAAATAACCCAAGACAGATACATTTACATGTATTTTCACTTTGGACTGAGATACACATCACAGTAGAAAAGGAGCTGGCAATTATCTAATTAATTAAGAAATAAAGGCAACCTACTGTGAAAATGCAGAAAAGTAACTTCAGCAAAATTTAGACTGATGACTCAATATACTAGATATTTCAGAATTTCAGGTGAAAGAAAATTCTTGTTAGCATCTTACATGGCTAAAGAAAAAAATGTTAGGTTGTTAAAGAGAAGCTTTCATTGGGTGTATGTAAAATTTGAATAATCTCTTTCCTCACCACACTTCCATGCAAACACACAAACACAATACACACATACATACCTGTGTAAACAATAGGGAATGGTAGGGGTTGTAGCATATACAGAAGCAGGCAGAGTGAGAGTTAGCTTCAGCTGATTGGTGTCATACAGGAGTGTGGGCTTTTTCAGGAGAAGCTAGAAATCTGGAATGTTATATAAAATCTCCCACATTTTATTGGTTGACCTTCATTGAAATTCAAACAAACAACACTTTGTAGGTCAAATAACACACATCTAATGCCAAATCATTTAATGGACTAGCAGCACATGATCTCTCATGCTCATTCCATTTCTTAGCACCAATATACCAAAGAAGTCTTCTCTGTATAAATAATAACCCACATGCATGAATGGCTATCACATACCAGACAATGAGCTGCAACTACCATTAGGAAGCCCACAATTCAGCATGGGAGACAGGGAAGCAAACAATTACAGTGCTTCCATTCCGTATGAAACTGAAACTACAGAGCCAACTGAATAGTCCATGTGGTTATTTTCAGTTCCAACAGAAAAACATTCCCTATGTTGCTTGAAACAAAAGCTGTGAGGACTGACTCACCAAAACCAAAAGCAAAGTAGGAAACAATCAGCAAAAACTGTCCCAGGAAAACCAAGAACATAGTGAGCTGAACTTAGGGAATCCTGAAACATTCTGTGTAGCAGCTACCTACAAAGAAGCCCCTGAATTCATTTTCTTACTTACTGAATGCTTTTACTTTGTCTTTACTCTATTATATGTTTGTTTAGTGTTAACTAATCTACTTCAAGTGGCACCTGTGATACAAGAATAAAAAACCAATATAGTCTCTGCTTTCTATGGGTGTTCCTACTTTGTTTGGCAGTGCAACCTACAATAGAGTGATGAAAGCAATGATAATGTACAAACAATATTAACTGCCACTGATGGAGTACTAATTCATGTCACACACTCTCAATTAATTCTTAAAATACCCCTGTTAACCTCACTTTTCAGATAGTAAACTAAAGCTTAGAGTGGTTGGATACATGATCTAAAGCAGGGTTCTCAAAGTGCGATCCCCAAAACATCATCAGTGGCACTTTGTAACTCATTATAAATGCAAATTTTCACCAATTCCAGAACTACTGAATCAGAAACTTTGGAGATGGAGCCTAGGGGGCTATGAATTAACAAACTCTCCAGTTGATAATGATTCATGATAAAGTTTGAGAAGCAGTGGTCTAAAGTCACAATTTGGTAAGAAGGAGATCATATTCTTGACCCAAGTCTTTCTAACCTTTCTGACCTATTAGATCACAAAGGAGAAAGGCTTACTCCTATCTAAGATTGGAGATGGTATAGTGAATTAGGGATGATTTCCAGAAAAAAAACAATCTTGAATCTGGTAGATGAGGAAGTTAGCCAGTAGAAGCTGGGGAGGGAAGGAATGGAACAACAATGTATTCCATGTAGAGAGACCATTTCTGGGACACAAAGAAATTCAGTATCGCTGCAACAAACAGTAAGGAAATGAGTGATCTGGGATTAGGCGTAAATCAATCTTAAAGGACACTGAATAAAGTCTGGACTTCCTCTCACCAAGGTCAAATTATTGTTCTAAGTTGAATTAGGAGTATTAAAGGGTTTTAAATAAAAAGTGTCCATAATCAGACTGTCCTAGAAGAAATACAAAGACACAAAGGTGGCAGTTCAAATGGCCAGGAGGTAAAGGGATCGCATGCAAAGGAAATGAAGAAAAGTATGCTCTAGTTCTGAGAACATTTTTTTTTCTTTCTAGTCATTGTGTTTCATTAACTCCACAGATATCTGTTGAGTTCTGTGTATATATGCTACTCTATGACATACAAATATGTTTGAGAAATATTTTATTCTCCCCCCCATAGAGCTAATTGTTTATGATAGTAAAAAGATGTAGATAATTAGCTAAAAGAGAAGACAGAATTAACTAAGGGCATGAAAATGAAGAACAAGGAATTGAGAGTGCAAAGCATCATCTATGATTCCAGATGTGGGGGAAAATTATCACATAAAATCAACCAGGAGAGAGTATATTTGAAATGTGCACAAAATTTCAATGGAAATAAAAACAAGTAAACAGCAGAAGAAAAAACTTGGAGAATGGATGTCCTACAGATTCACTGACTTCTGAAAAGAAATAATGGAAGTAGAGGCACTTTAGAGATGAAGCAGAACACACCGCCGAAAGGAATGAGGTCAGCTTGTGGAGCTGAGAAATTTAGACTTTATCCTGTGGGCAATGTTAAAACAAGGCCTCTAAATTAATATAGGAGAAATGCTGAAACTAGGCCATGCTTTCCTAAGAGGCATTTTATATTTCATTTTTATTTAAATATCACTCCGGTGGGTGTCAAACTCAGATAAAGCTCTGAAACAAGGTTTTTCCTTGAATAGTGGTATATTGCCTTTAAGGTGCCTCAAGGACTGTAAGTACCTCTAAGTAGCACATTTAAATTGTTAATAAATATTAAATCATTTGTTCATATTCCAGTAAGTTTTTACTGAATTTCTGATGCTAATGGAACAAAGATGAAGGATTCACTTGGGTGGAGAATGCTGAAGAGATAATATAAGTCCACAAATTCCTTTTCCTGTGGGGATAGAAGGTCCTCACCTCCCTCTCTGTCATCCTGCTCCACCTTCATCCACAATCCAGAAACCTCTAGAGTGGCATTTGGGAGGCGAGGAATAACCCTCACATTTTCATCTTTGTTCGCAAATTAGGCACTTCAGATGGCTCTCTAAAGAAAAATGCCGAAAACATGTCCACGTCTTAATTCTTTGCATTCCCAACTTGAACTTGTGCAAAACAGGCTGCCATTCTTTTTACCCACACGAAGGCCAGGAATTAGAGAACTTTTCCAAAACTTATTTTTGCACATCAATCACATAAAATGGATTGTGTTCTAAAAATGCTTTCAGTCTGCCTTTCTTCCTCAATTGAAATTTGAACCATTTCTTAATATACAGCATATTTATGTTTTCAACAATTAAACAACAGAGAACTTGTCAAAAAAGCTACTGGAAGGCATATTAAGTGTATAAAATTCTTATATTTTTGATAAAATTAGAGAGAGATCCACTCAGATGACTGAGTCAAGAACGAAACTGTAACTATTCTATCCAGGATTTTTTGAGCACTGAGCACTTGCCGTATACTTTCCTGAGACCATAACATGTATCCACTCGTGTAATCCTGCCATAGTCTGCTGAGGTTGACACCATTATCTGAGGCACCCAAAAGATAAGATCACTCAGCTACTGCTAGAAATAGGATATTAGTTTTACAGCTTCAGAGGTCTTATTCTGAACTAGATGACACTCCAAAGAAAGATAAGCACAAGGCTATGTTATTTCCAAATATATCCTTCTCTGTGCTCTCACACCTGGCTGCATGGGTTTGGGGGCACTATTTTACACGTGAGCAATGTGTGTTTGTACTTTTAACACAGGGGCCAGCAGAAGTCACAGACACACTCACTGGTTCTCAAGAGACACACTGAAAATTACTTGTGGCTTCAGGGCAATGTTGGGGAGTTCCGACTGAAGGCTGGAGGGGAAGGGAAAGAGGCAGGACCTTTGGCTCTGCTATGATCCAAATGCTGTGTCTCCCCAAAATTCATGTTGAAATTCTAATGCTCAATGTGATAGTATTAGGAGGTGGGGGGCCTTTGGGAGGTGCTTAGGTCATGAGGGTGGAGCCCTCTTAAATGAGATTAGTACCCTTATAAAAGAGACCCCACAAAGCTTCTGAGCATCTTTCGCCATGTGAGGATATAACAAGTCTACTACCTGGAAGAGGGCCCTTCTCTGGCCATTCTGGCACCTTGATGTTGGACTTTCAGCCTCCAGAACTGTGAGAAATAAATTTTTGTGGTTTCTAAGCCATCCAGTCTGTGGCATTTTGTTACAGATTAAGGCAGGCTCCACCTCATTTTGGAAAGGAATATAAGGGGCTCGTGTCCCTAGATGTCCTCTTCCTTTCCTTCTATTACATCTCTGACACCTACCAGAGAGTCTGGCAGACGCAGGAGAGGGTACCCAGAAATCCATTTTCCATTTTCTCCCCTAACTGGGCGAGGCAAGAACCAAGCTCTACACTGAGTCACGATCTTGAAGGCCAAGGGAACTGTAGGTAAAAGAGGCACGCCGGGATGATCAGGTTCTGTCGTCGTTTTGTGCAAAATCTCCCAGCCATTTTCTATCTCACTCAAAGTCAGAGTTGTGCTTCCCTAAGGTACAGGAGACCTCAACTACACAATGGATCTCCCCGGGTAATGTGTTAAAAGAACGGCCAGGCTTCAAACCAGACCTACTAAAGTAGATTCTGGGATTGGACCCAGGCATTTTGTCTCCAGCTCCCCAGGTGAGTATACTTTGCAGCCGGCTCTGAGAGCCAGCGCCCTGGCCCTGCTCTGCATGCTCAGCCGCACCCCCATCCCACACAAGCTCTCCGACCTCGTCTCCCACCCCCCCTCCCCTGCTTCCCTTGCTCTCGTGTCACGAATATCCTGTGGTTCCTCAAACATGCTAAGCATGCTCC